GATTAGGTGGTTAGTTTAGGTAATTTAGATTAGGTTGGTTTACTTTTTTAATTGTTTTTTTAAATTATACGGGAATTAATGTTTTATTTTTATTTTTTAAATTTAGATGGTCAGACAGAGCAAGATTGCTAAGGCTAAGAGGCCTCTTCAGGGGAGTCACTACGGAGATCTTTTCGGGCGTCAGTCTGGTCCCGGTTCATCTTCGTCAGCTCCCAGTTCATCTTCGATTCTTGATCCTAACGCTGTTCCCGAGAATCAGGGAGTTTCTACGAAGTCCCGGTATGAACAACCACCTCCTCCTCCTCCTCCACCACCTCCTCCTCCTCCTCCTACACCGGTCGGGGTTCATCCCGATTTGCAGGTACCGCCAAACGTACCATTTGCGGTGTACACGGTGGAGGATATTCTGGCCCTTCCAGTTAGAGAATGGTTGCCAGAGTTAGATCATATCCGACGGGACATCCACAACATATTATGGTATGTTTTAATTTTTAAAATGTGTTTTTAATTTATTTCTTAATTAACAAAATATTTACAAATTAATCTTTCCAGGTTTGGTCTTGACGGATGTGTTACTCAGAGCATCACGGACTGTATCAAGGGATACTTTCCCGATGCAGCTCCAAACTGGAGGAAGACACCAAGCCACACAAAAAGACGTGGTTCAAATCGTTCGCTTTAAGTTTAATTAATCAACTTAATTTATTTTTAATTATTTAAATTATTAATATTATTAAACTAATCCGTCTCTTATTTTTTTCTGGTTACAACAAAAATATCATTGGTCTATAGGGATTCATTAGCGGGTGAAGACGGAGTTCGAGGGGAAGGCAAGAGCACGATTGCTCGACATGGTCTACAACTGGAAGTATGACTTTCAGGTCTAGATTTATAAATTATATATATATATATATATATATATATAGTTTTAGTTAAATCATTTATTGACTTTAATTCTAAAAAATTTTGTTCAGGTGGATGGTTACGAGAACAGGAAACCCGATTGCCTCACAACCGACGTGTGGGATGGTATCATCAGATATTAGGGGTTGCCGGACTCGGTCAGAACCTCCAACACAAACTCCAGGAACCGCATGACCAAAGACGAGCATGGCAACACGAAGATGCTTCACAGCACGGGTCGAAAACCTCACGGGGGAGTTCGTCTAGACATGGTAAGATGATTTTCAATAACTATTTAATTTTTACTCTATTTGAATATTCCAAATTAATATTTAATTTTAAAAATTAATTTTAGGCTAAAGAGACAGGAGTTCTTCCATCTCTTAAAGACCTTTACGGGAGGACCCACCGGAACAAGGCTGGGCAGTTTGTAGATCCTGCTTCCGAGCGGATCTACAATGAGGTTGTTGCCCGAGTTGACGAACGCCAGACCCAGCTGACTCAGCAGACTGGGGCTCCAGTTATATTATCCACTCTTGAAGTGGATAAGATTTACGAGGAGGTAAATAATTTGTTTTACTATTAATTTTTATTATTTATTTAATTTTTTTCTTAACGCTATTAATATTTTTATTTACATCGCCCCTAGGAAAAAGGGGCGTATCGTCGGGATTGGCTCGGTTAACGATGTCCCCACAGTGACATCGTCTTATGCTCAGAAACAGCACGATGTCAATACTCAGCTGCACTCGGAGTTGCAGGCGATGCAGTCTCATGTGAGTTTGCTCACCGAGCATGTGAGTTCTCTCACCGATGTCCTCGACATTTTGGCGGTTGGAAACCCGCAATTGGCAGAGATGTTGCGTCAGAGACGGGAAAGCGGAGGGTTTCCAACCCAACAGCCTCCTCCATCACAGTCACAGCCGGCAACCAACTTAGGAGAGGAGGAGGATTTGGCGAGCCAGGACGATTTCGTTTGGCAATTTAACGAGCAACATCCGTAGTTTTTTTTTAATTTATAATTGTACATTATGAATTTTAAAATTTAATTGTATATTATTTAGTTATTTATAAAATATTTGTTTTATTTTTTATTTATAATTTGGTTTGTTATTTTTTAAAAATATATTATTTATATTTATAATTAAGATTTTTTAATAGGGAAAAATAATAATTCGAAGCAAAATCCTCGTAAAGGTTTCGAAGTAATGTCCTCTTAAATTATTCTAGTAAGTTCCTCGTAATGAATTACTACAAGCTAACGAGGAAATCATTTACTATGACATTACGAGGAAACCCTACAAAGACCTTACGAAGAAAAGTTAACTACACGTTTACGAGGAAAAGTTTCCTCGTAAATTAGCTAGAACCTTACGAGGAAAAAGGCTTTACGAAGAACGTGTTTCGACAAAACGCGTTTCCTCGTAAGTTCCTAGTAAATGATCATTTTTTTGGTTGATGGTGATAAGAAACCTACAATGGGATATCTGCATGGAGAGTTGTTACAAGCAAAGAAAGATATACGTGCTGGGTTGAATAACATTGAAAGGAATATTCAGCCAATCATGAATATCATTGACCAAAGGATTGAGGGTCGACTTGACAATCCTTTGCATATGACGGGTTATCTCTTAAACCCTTACTATCTATACAAGGATCAGACCATTCCATTACATAACAATGTGCTCACAAGTTTTTTCAAGTGTGTCAATGCTTTTATTCCGGATGACCTTTCCAAGCAATGCAACGTCATCAATTCCGAGATTAATAAATACAAGAACAAGGAAGATAATTTTGGGACACCATGGGCTATAAAAGGCTGTGAAGAAATTAAAGATGATTATGATCCAGGTATGTTAAAAAGTTAAAGCCATTATACACCTTTACGAACTTGCACTTATCTTTATTTTCTTATTAGTTGAATGGTGGAATACTTACGGGGCATCAGTTCCTAATTTGCAAAGAATGGCAAAGAGAATTTTGTCTTTAACTACTAGTTCATCAGGATGTGAAAGAGCTTGGAGTTCTTTTGAAGGGGTAATCTTTTTTATTCGTTTATGATTTTAAACTTTTCTAACTTAATATTTCAATATTGATTACTTTGTTTTAAAAATGCAGATACATACAAAAAAACGCAACCGGCTTAGTACAACTAGGATGAATAATCTTGTATTTGTCCAGTTTAATACAAGATTGTTGAATAAAAGAAAAAGACAGAAGGAGAAGAACATTGATATATTGATTGCTGATGATGCTACTCACGCTCAAGAATGGCTTGTTGAAGGTGATGATGAAGAACATGAATCAGCTATGGATGTGGGAGCTGGTGATGCAGGAGAGGCAGGTGATGATTTTATGGCTGATATTAGAGAATTGCATGATGAAGATTTTATTTATGGTGATGAAGAGGATGATTTTGCTGGTAATAATTTGGAATCAGAAGAAGACCCAGTTTCAAACATGTACGCTGAAGAAGAAAATGATAATTGAACTTTAGTTTGGTTAATTTTCTTTACATTTGAGTTATTTTTTTGTTTTGAGGATGATATATTTTTTTCTAGTTATTTGATTTTAAGAACTTAGTATTGAAATTCTTATATTCTTTTAGTATTAATATCACTCTGATTAATATTATTTTATTTTTATATTAGTTATCAATAAATTATATATATATATATATATATGTCCGCTTAGGCCCCGTTTAGGCGTCCGCGTATACAGCTATACGCTAGGCGCTGGGTCACCGCACAACGAGCGCATAGCGCATTTTAGAACACTGGTTATTACAAATATACATTCCATGAAAAATTGAAAGACAAAATTTTGGAAATCATATAAATATTTCAACTAACAAAACAAGATGATATCTTAAAAGATAAAATAAATATCAATATAACACGTACGAAAATCAATATAAGAAATCTTTTCAAAATACAAATCAATTTAAGAAGTACGTAGAAGAAGATGAACATATTTTTAGCAAAACCATCAAAATTCTATCAGTTTAAACAAACAACAGTCATAGAACTAAAGTGTAAACAACAACAATTAAACATATAAAAAGGAAGAAAACATATAAATAGAAAATGTCTCTGACGACAGCAATAATTAAAAACCTAACGTATAAATGGAAATACATATCAAATAAGGAATGGGAAAATGGTCATAAAAATCTCCAACTTACAAATTTTGGCCATTTAAAACATAAACTTTGGTTTAAACAGCCTAAAACATCAAATTCTTATTGACTTCTATTTAAATCCTAAACTTTGTTTGACTAAGCCAATATAGGGTAAAGTTATATTATGATTTATTACATTTTATTATATTTTTAATTGATTTAGCTTGGAAGTGGATTAGTTTATTATCATGATAAAGTTAATTATTGTAATAGTAATTATTATACTCTTAAAATAAAATAAAAAATATTAGTTATTCTTACTTTAGATTTTCCTCAACTATATTAAAGTGAGATCTTATACTATAAAGAAGAAAAAACTCTCTTCTCCTCAATACACCTCAGCATATGATGTCACTAAATCATTGATTCTCAGGGCAACAAGTGTCCCTCTCACTCTATGCTGCGTTTCATTATCTGTTTTACTTAATATATTTGGGCTTTGTGTTTGGGCTCTTGATTCTTTAAGGTAATTGAGTCCGAAAGCAACCACACATGTATCGTCTTTCTCGGTTTGGAACGATTTTAGCGTTCATCCTCCTCTTCCGTGAACTTCTTCGACTTCAGCGTCCCACACTAATCCATTGATCAAACTTTTGGTCTTCCCCATGGCACTTAACTTTGGATCAACGACCCGTTCATCTCTTCACCTCTGATTTTTTTTTTCTAATCATCTTGAGGTTTCTATATACATTCGATTGAATCTGAATACTTTCCAAAACTTGGATTTCTCGAGAGAATCCGAGTTTCAATTGTATTTCAAAGTGTTTTATTCTATTTTACGTCACATACAATCCAGTGACATCGTATTTGATTGAAATTTTTGTGGAGTTGGTGGATTTGATTTCAGGTTTTTTATTGATTTCATTCTTGGTGAGGGTTGATTAAGCTATAAGCCTATAACTGGATTGTGACACGGATGCTGAGCGTGAGCAGAAATTGCAGGTTCTTCATATTTACTCGAAAAGTACATTTGTCACATGTTACTCCAAATTGTTTTGTCATGAGCCAATGCTATAGCCAAGATCTTGCTTTTGCTTTTATCCGCAGGCTTGATGAGAGGAAGAGGATGAAGGAATTAGTTCTGGAAAGAAACTTACTGTACCCTGATCAGTTTGAGCTAAGCCTTTCAGCACATGTTACGGTTTTGAAGAATAAGAAACCTACTTCAAGTGTTGAGGCTGATATAACAGGTGGATCAACATTAAATTCTCAGGCTGTTCTGAGGTCAACTGTAACTTCTAAAAGTTACGTATTTAAAACAGGTATGGTCGCTTATTTTTCATTTTCGTTTTGTGCCACTTTATGTTTTACTGATCAGGCACTTATGTATTTGTTGAATGATTGAGTGAAGTTTGTAGGCTCTTCAATTTCTTCGCTTCCTTCTTTCCATACTTCACTTAGGTATTGTTTGTTTTTTTTAGTCTCATCTTTTGTTTGAGATCTTTTTTCTGATGTATATTGCTGTTATCAGAGCACAATTCATTTCGTTTGTTATTGCTATTCTACCTAGGGGACCGGTAATAGGTTTTCACGGAAAAGTACTACTTGCATTTAAAGACAATGAATCTGCAAAAATCGGGGTTAGATTTGATAGGCCGATAGCAGATGGAAATGATCTTGGTGGTCTTTGAGAAAAAGACCGTGGTTTCTTTTGTGCTGGTAATTTTCCTCATGATACCTACACTTTTGAGTTAAAAGTAAACTGTACTAATGACATTGTTTGTGTGCAGCGAGTTCACTTCGGTTAGATGCCTATTCTAATGACGATATTGATAACCTTGCAATCAATGAAATCTTTGAGGTAGGTTTACCACGTTTTTTTGCCTCTGATTAATTTGAAGAGTATTACTTAGTCTTTATAGCTACAATAACCCTTTAATATCTTTTGAACGATACAACAAGTGCAAGGTCTTTGCGCGGTTCCACTCCAAATAAAAGCACAAGGAACTGATTCCAAAGGTCATTGATTAGCACCGGATCCTCAAAAGAATCCAGGATCTTCAGGTTTAATGCTTATTCTTTAACCCAAGGACTTGAGAACTGATTACAAACTCAATCAGGTGGGAACTAAGTAAGGGTTTTTCCTTAATGTTGTTAAGAAGCAAGAGCTGCTGGTTGTACGACAACTGCAGAAGCTAATAGATTTATAGAAAAGAAGAGAAAGAAGGAAGCTGAAGAAAATTTTCTGCGACTAAACCACTGTGGACAAAGCAGTGTAGCTGGTAAAGCACTAAAGAGTCCTAGAGAGTTACAAAGAAATTTACAGCCCTTTGGTTCTGACTCGCTGTCAAAGGCCACGCTTCCAATAATACGTAGCTCCTTGGAAAATCGGGACGTCAGTGGTCTCCTTGGAGCTGACTTACTCTCTGAAGCCGTAAGTTTCATATCTGGTGATTCTCATTCGAATTGTATCCTTGGTTTGAGAGATTGAAGCTGTGTGCTTTGTGCAGGAAAAGAAGATGTGCAAAGAGATGAGAATACTGCCTGCACATTATTTCAAAATACTGGAAATCTTAACAAGCAAGATAAAGAAAGAGAAGATAAAGAAAAATTCTGGTGTTTATAGCTTCTTCAGAGCAGAACCGAGTAAAGTAGACTAATTATATGATCTGCTGAAACATAAAATATTCCAGAGCTCAATCTCCATTATCGACCAATTAGCTATCATGATGAACTCAGCAGACCCTCATCATCAGAAGCCAAGGAGCAGCACGGAGTCATCATCTAGCTTTCGAGTCTGTTGAGACGGATGTTGATCAGTTGCAATTGATGTCTTAAGATCATATCCTCTGGATTCTTGATCATTCCTTACGGCAAATTCATCACTGTCAAAGCCGTTTTTAACAATTTCGCTGCAAAACTTCACTATAATAGATAGGTACGGGAACACAATTTTAAGTTTTGTTTTCTTATTTTTTTCCTCTTTCCCTCTGTTTTATGTGTTCTTTATCGCCGTTTGTGTTGTGGTAAATGGCTCGGCGGAAGTTGTGTATATAAGAAAGAAGTGCTGCATATCAAGCTATGAAGAGATACAACAATGTACAGTTAGTGGAAGAGACTGTAGCTCACCGCCAAGCCCGTGTTTTGGAGCGTGTACGGATTTGCAATCAGAATGGTGCTGACAGCTTTATTGATGATAAATAGAATAATTATATGCTGAGAAGACTTATGAGGTAAGATTTTTGCAATCCTTTTTTCTTTGGGTTTGTGATTGTTCCTTGAAGCAAGTAATGTCTCTTTGGACAAGTGGATTTTGTCCTGACTGGCGTCATGCTAATGCTGCTATGTTATTACCCCTGTTCGTTTCATCACCGCGGAACTCAGTGGTTGCGTCAAAAAAATGTATAGTGAACAAGACAGAAATCAGAGTAACTTGACGCAGCGGCAATTCTGATGGACTTCCAGAGGCACAAATAATGAGAAGCTGATGCCGCCGTTATTTCCCGCGTCCGTTTTATCCTCCGTTTGTTACCGCTGCGACTGCAAAATCAGTTAGTTTAGCTTCACCTGTGCCGTGTGTTGTAGTCCTCAAAGCTTAAATTTTTTTGACGCTGCCGCTGCTTTCCGCGGTGATGAAACGAACAGGGGTATTGTAGAATGATGGATCAGATTGAAGCTTTTAGCGAGAGGGAGAGATGGAAAATATTTTATTGCTGATGGGAACTTTGTCGAATATGTTAGCGACAAGGAAGTCAAGGTACATCAAATATTGGTTTAACGTTTTAGGATTATAAGCAAGATCAAACATTGATTTACAGTTAAGGAACGTATACAATAATTATAAGGTCGTTTACATTGCTATCAATTGGTCGCTTGCAATATTGTTGTGAGTCAAAAATGCATATGCAAGGCCAAGATATGAATAAAAAAGGATATGCAGAGAGTATTACAAAGTTTACGGGCCCAGATATATGCTATCTTTTACTCTTAGTTGATTATCATTGATATGATCAATAAATCCATGTTTTTCCTCGGTTGTTTAATTACTCTATAAGATTCACTTAATATTGGCACAAAAAAAAATTGAAAGATAAATTATGTTTTAAAAAATATAGAACTTAATTTGTTTTCTGTATTTATTGAAACAGAATAAAATTAATATGAAAACTAAAAACTATCAGAAAATTAGGTTCATCTTGGTTAACTTTAAAAATATAAAAAGCATTTTAATTAAATATTTCAATATCAAAACTTCATATTTTAAAGCAATATGAAAATCAGTATCAATATAACTATTAATAAAAACAATTTAAAATAAAGTTAAATTGATATTTAGAATACTTTTATGGAAAATCAATATAAAAGTTTAACAAACAGAACTAAAGAAATAATATCTTTAATGTGAAATTTCAAAAAATAAAATATAATCAACATTACCTTTAAAAGAAAATAATCTAAACAAATTAAATTGATATCTAAATAACCTGTTTGAAAAATCTTATCTCTAATATATACTGACGACTATATTTTGAAGTTTTAGTTGATTGATCTTAATAGATGCATGACGGTGAATATCAAATAGCTCCAAGTTGAAGGTTAAATTCATTGAATATTTGAATCTTATCTACAATGTATAAGTTGTTCAAAAAAAAAAAAAAAAAAAAAAAATCTACAATGTATAAAAGGTGCAGGTATCTCTAAAATATGATTGACTTTTACACGCGTTTTACCGTTTTAGCAGTAGGAATTTCAGCTGGAGTTGTAATCCATGTCACATCTCACTTAGCATGCGGTTCCCTGAATTTTCCGCAAATAAACAAAGAGACCTATGGATTTTGTGCCAATGATGGAGGAGCTACAGGAATTGCAATAATAACCTTTTCATTGCCTACACCATGGTTTAGATGCAATAAGCTCAAGCTTTTTAGAACGGATCAAAATTCTTGAGCTTTTAGACATGTTACATAGACAAAATAATCAACTAATTACAGTAAGGTAAGAAAAATGAATACAAAATAGATGACAATGACTCTAAACCAAACTGGTGTTTGGCCTCTTTAATGGATAAACCTTCGATTATATTCTTCATCTTCACCATACCTATTCGGCTATTCCTATGATTTATGTGTATTCAATTTTTTTTTTAATTAATCTACACATAGAGTCGAAAAATAAATATATATATTTAAATGTGAAGAATTTTGGTCAGTTTGGAAAATAAATACAATCATTTTCATCTATATGTGACCTCTATTAGTTTTATTTTATTTTTTCAGATTAGTATTGACATGTTGTCATTCAAAAGTACATTTAAAAGCTAAAGAAGTAGATTTCATTGATCTATATTTTTAATCTCTATCAAAATCTCAACATATTAAATTTGGACCCAAATAAAATATTATTTTTAATAGTTACAAAGTTTTAACATGCTCTACAAACGACTGCGTAAACAACATATTTTTCCAACAATTATATCTTAAATTTTAATAATAACTAAAAATAAATTATAATTATAATGAAATACAGTTCTATAAAATTGATAAATAATAAAAATCATACAAACGTAAACCTCATCAAATCTTTATAATATATTTTACGCCGCAATCTCTTATTACAGACACAACCATCAAAAACAAACACAATACATTTTAACATATATATTTCCTCCACATCTAAACATTCTTGAAAACCAATAAACGTTATTATACACCTCTAGCAGCATAAAACATATGCAATTAAAATAGTATTTTTTGTCGCTTTTGTACCTTCTCTTTTTATTTATTATTTCCCATTTTATTAATATGATTAATTACATAATCTTTATATATAAAGAAAAGCTTCACTCTCTTCTTCTTCACCCACATTATCAAGTGATGTCATAAAATAGACTTCCTTTAATCTGACATCTGTCCACCGAAAATAAACCAAACGGTTTGATACTTTTGGGCCTCAGCTTTATAATTATTCGACCCGTGAGCGAAACATTCGAGCTCAAACCACAAACGAGCTACCATCTCAATGAAACGGAGACCAACTACAGCCATTTCTTCTACTTCAAAGTCAAGAGAATCATAACCATCCTTTAAAATGACTTTTCTGGATCAAGCTAAAACCGCTACAATAACACCCATCAATGATTCATTATTCTACTTACACACGTTGTATCAAACATTTTTTCCACATCTTTTTTTTAAAAATAATATATGGATTGCTTCTATAATTGCTATTTCAGACCCACATTAATCGATCGACTTAGGGATGTTCATTTCAGATGTTGGTTTGGTTTGGTTTGGTTTCGGTCAGTGTTTTTGTTATTTCAGTTTATAAAAATTATCTACTATATTAAAACATATCTATTTTGGTTTGGTTCAGTTTATCTACTTTGGTTTATTCAATTTGATACCAAATAATATATATTATATTGATCTTTTATGACAAATTTTAGTTTATAAGATAAAAAAAAACAGATTTATTAAAAGATAATATACATTTCCGTCATCCAATTTTAAAATAAGATATCTTCTTTTCCTTTTTTCCTACTAAAATAAAAAAAATTAATCTCATAATATTATTAAATAATTATATTTTAACACAAATATTTATTATTAATAATATGTATTATTTAATTTGATGAAAGTGAAAAAAAATTAACTTAGAAAAAATTACAAAATCAGTAGCTTTAAATATGAATATTAAGTTCATAAATAAGCATGTATATATTAATATTATTATTATAAAATTTGCATATAATTATACAAATATATTTTGGTTAATCGGTTTTATCGGTTTATATACCGAACCATATTTATATACCGCGGTTTCTTAAAATTAACATTCATTCGATTTTATTTGGTATTTCCAAATTCAAATCACTTTTTCTATTTTGGTTTGGTTCGATTTTATTTGGCTCGATTTAAGTGAACACCACTTCGACTCTATTTTCTAAAAATAGATTCCAAACGTCCGAATAGAACCAAAAAGAATTGGTATAGACAATACTTAATCAATTTTTAAAAAAAACTGTCAGCTAAATGAACAACAAACAATGCATACACAAAATTTATACCTTAAATAAACAAAAAAACTACATCAAATCCCGCGCGTAGCGCGGACTTCCCCTAGTAGAAATATATAAAAAAAAGAAATATATATCATCATATATATCATTATATTTTCTTAACTTATTAATTTCATAATTTTTTGTTCTGTAATTAAAAATGTTAGTGGCCCTTTCAACTCAAACCAACACAATTTAATAAAATTATAATTTTATTTTAAAATAAAAATATTATATTTATTATTACTATTTAAAGTAAATTTCCAAAATTAGAAAGCTAAAATATTTTTGATCAATAAAATTAAAATATTTTTTGATAAACAAAATTAAATATATTTTAATATAAAATATTTTTAGTGTAAATTCATCCGTTCGTAGGGCTGACCAACCACTAGTGGTAAAAATAATTAAAGTAAAAGAATGGGAGATAAGAACACGTCATTTCCTCACTCTTGGGGTGAATATTCTTATGTTCTTATAATTAATTACTCATCATTTAGGCAAAAAAGAATGTATTTATTTATAATAAAGTAGGAGGGGAGTCCAAAATGTTAAAATGATGATTAGTTGGTACGTTTTTTTACCTACCAACTTTTAAATGATATTGACTGATACATACTTGAGTTCAAAACCTAACAAAGCTTTTATTCAGTTAACGGTCTTATATCTTCTTTTAGTTTTAAACCTACCCCTATAAAAAATTTCAGTTTTGTATGTTACACACATTTGAAACCAAACTACATTGAACGTAACCATGATTTCAAACAAAACTCAAATAGATAAGAAAAAAGAAAAATAGTAGGACGAAAAACAATCAACAAACCGATATCAAAGTGTTGGTAGAGTGTATTTGAGAATATTAGTTCTGTTAATTAGTGGGGTCCCTTCTTAGTGTTTGATCTAAGCTTGTTAGATGAGCTTCGTTGCTTACACGTTGAGAATAGTCTTTGGATGAGGTTAAAAGTACGGCTTTTTGTTCGACGACTGTCGTATGAAACAGTTTCCAGTGCCACTTCCAATGGTGTTACCCACCATTGGAATCCTTAGGAGTATATTAATATTTTTTTTTTTGAATAATTAAGGATCCTAATATAAAACGTTGTTCTAATGGTGTTCTTCACTATAGAATCCTTAGAGATTAAAAAATAATATAATTGAAAAATGTAAATATAAAATTTTAATTTTATTGAATGATAAATGTAAACATACAATACTTAAACATCTTCATAATTACCAAACTTGTTCCAAATATTTTCAATCAAATCATTTTTCAATTGTTCATGTATACGCCGGTCCCGTACATGTTGTCGTGCGCCAATAATATTTCCGAGATTTGAAGGGAACTCGGTAGAATATGACATATCCACTTGTGAACTCCGACTTGTCTCTCCTACTTCAAACTCGGATGTATCATATTGAGTGTATCCATGGCATTCATCTTCTACTATCATATTATGCAGTATGATACATGTTCGCATAACCATCCCTATTTGTTTCTTTTCGCACAGTATTGCCGGATTTTTCACAATAGCAAATTGAGCTTACAATACTTCAAAGCACGTTCGACATCTTTTCGGGTTGATTCTTGAACCTTAGCAAATAATTCTGCTTTAGGACCTTGAGGATGTGAGATTGATTGGATAAATGTTGACCATTTTGGATATATCTCGTCCGTTAGGTAGTAGGCCAAATCGTACTGGTGTCCGTTAACCACGTATTGTACTTTTGGAACTCGACCTTGCAAAATGTCATCAAAAACAGGGGACCTCTCGAGGACGTTAATATCGTTTAAGGTACCCGGAGGACTAAAAAAAGCGTGCCATATCCAAAGATCTTGTGAAGCCACAGCCTCCAATACAATTGTCGGATTTCTTGATCCCCGGGTGTACTGTCCAT